GAGAGAGAGAGAGAGAGAGAGAGAGAGAGAGAGAGAGAGAGAGAGAGAGAGAGAGAGAGAGAGAAAGAGCAGTTGCAACCTGTCGGTATCATAGGAGTAGACCATAAGTGGCTTCATGTTGACTTCAACAGGTGGAACATTGAGAGACTCAGGTGTGAGACAAGGGAGGCAAAGAGGGACCTAAGTTTTGCAAGGAACAACATGTGCCTATTGCAGGGGTGCATTTCCAATAACGGCGCCGTTCCTGATGGTGATGCTCCCTCCTCAGGTGATGACTGTGACACAGAGCGCTACAGTAGGTGAGCGGCTCTCGCCTCCTTAAAGCCCAATATCTGCAAAATGGTGCCGTGGTTCAGCTTATCGGATTCCCCTCTTCTATCCTGCGATGCATACTTCCAAGTCATGGAGTCTTCTTCCCTATTCTTCTCATGGATGAATCTCAACCTTTCGTCATGTTTGTGATCGATACATCCCCTTAGCCACCATGGTCTGAACTTCTCCGAAGTTTTCAAGTTTCAACCCTCTACTTTTTTTTTTTTCTTTTTTTTTTTTAAGTTTTTCAACGTCTTCGGTTATGCTTTTTTTTTTTTTGCTATGGAATTCTCAAGGTGCTTCAGCTTGCACTTTTTTTTTTTCCCCCCTTTTTTAAGCTTGCCAGCCTTGCCCTTGTTTTGTCCTTGATACTCCTTATTGTTCTTCAATTGACAACTATTAATTAATTTATTATTGAGTTTTGTGACTTTAGTCAGAGTAAGTTAACCACATTCCACAGGACTGATCAGCGAGAGTCGAGATGATACTATCGTTATAGATTAACTACTATAGATATATACTTTGATGGTTTGAAGTTTGTCCAGCTTGGCTGATTTGGGGTGTGTTACACTGTGGGAGGATGGAGAAAGCTGGAGGCATCTCTGAGCATCACTGTGAATCTGTCAGCTACTGCCTCTCATAGTCTCTGTCCCCTCCGTGCCCCTTCTGCGCCGCCGGCGGTTCATTTCCACCCCGTTGTAATGGCGTTGTTCACATTTGCGGGCCTTCTACTGCGAACTCTTCAGATTCCATGGAATAAACTCCCTTGTGGCAACTGGGGAGCAGGAACATGGAGATGGGGCTTAATGCACCCTGTGCTTAGTATCAAGCTTGCAGCGATACTGTCATTCGTCGCTTCTGTCTCATCGGTCTCTTCGGCCCCACCGGTGACTTCTGTCTGGTCGGTTGCTTCGGTCCCACTGGTCACTTCTGTCCCAGCGGTCGCTTTGGCCCCGGTGTTCTGTTTGCTGGCCGCCCCGTTCCATTGGCGGACTCTTCAGATTCTGCGGAAAAGACACTCCGTTGCCGTGGTGAGACTGCATGAAGATGCAAAATGCCCATTGGTCCTGTGGAGCAACCTGAGCTTATGTTCAATCTTGCAGCTATAACGTCATCAGTCGTTTCTGTACCATCGGTCAGCTGCTTCTGTCCCATCGGTCAGCCGCTTCTGTCCCATTGGTTGCTTCTGTCCCAAAGCTTTGGTTTGTGTGGCTATACTGGCAGACGACTCAAGTTTCGTCGAATGAATTCTCCTGTTTCTGCATGGGCTGCGAAGAGGCCTAATTTCTTTGCAAGTACAGTTTCCGGAAGTTGCATGGTTTTTTGGCAATCTGAGTTGTCGTGACTCGTCCGGGCTAACCTACCGTCTTCACCCGAATAGAACGCCTGGTCATTATCGCTGCATCTGGACCGAAAGTTGTGCCAAATACAGCTATAATGACCGGGCGTTCTATTCGGGTGAAGGCGGTAGAGTCCCGGTTATTCTGACCTAGCATGGGAACACGGCAAGGCTGTGAAGCGTCTCCTCCTGAATATAGGTCGTACGGTCACTATAGCTTTATATGGGGCTATTTTTTCAGCCTAGAAACAGCGATCATGACCGTATGTTCTATTCGGGTTAAGACGACAGTTTGTAGATCATCAGCAATCTCCAGAACAGAGGTTGGTAGAGCACAGCGGCCCAAAGAGATTTGAACAAGCACAGTTAACTCTGAGTTAACCCTGAGTTAACCCTGAATTACGGTGTCCGCGTGCACTCTGCACGCCAATCCAGGACTTGACCAGAGTCAATGCATGGTCAGCCAGAGAGAGTCGACCAAGCAGAATCAGAGGGGAAAAGATTAAAAACTCGTGGGCATCTAAATGGTAATGCAGGACCACCACTAAAAAACAATAAGGGCAGCAAAGAGAAGAAAAGCCGAGGCGGGGTAATCGATGAAGAGGTCCCGCTCTGTGGACTCCACAGACTAGACCTGTCCTGGTCTATGGAGTTAAGTCATAGACCTGGTCTATTCACGAGGTCAACGTAGGCCATGCATTTTGTCTAGGTCTATGGGACCCCTACCAATCTTCAGTTAAAAAGTGGAAAAAAAAAGAAACGGCGGCCACTGTTAGGTGGGGTGATAAGAGCAGGCCCGCCTAGCAGCATCTCCCCCAGCTGCTCCGTCTGTTCGTGGGGAGCAGCACCTGCTGGAAAACGGAAACAGCGTACCATTACAATGATTGCTATTACTTCTTCAGGTTTATAGACGCTATAGACAAATTCCACTCGATAGAGGTTGGTAGAAGGAAAATCCGCTCAACTCTGCACTCTGAACGCTGACCTTTCAGCGGACTGAAGTCCATTGACACAGTTGAGTACCCACTGACGGAGGATCAGGCCCAACTGGTGCTTTAATTTGTGCTTAGGAAGCATGATCCTGGTCTTGAAAATGGTCAGGTTCTTGCTTTGTTATAGCACAAACATAGCACCAGTCCCGACCTGGCCCTGGCTTGGCTATATTGATATACTCAACCAGACTTTGGCTATCTCACTTTTCCGAGTTTTCTCCATCTTTGTGACCGTTGTCGAGTCATTGCCAGTTCTCGAGTTTCACCAAACCTAGAGATGGATTTGAATTTTGAACCAAAAAAATAAAATAAAAAATAAAATTGGATTTGAAGAACGCGGTTTTTCCAAAGCAGCAAAAACTCTCATCTCGAAACAAATCAAATCGATGTCTTGAAAACTGAAATTGCCCCTTCAGCCTCAAGGGAATGCTAATTATGTTTTTTTCAACTTGTGCCAGATAACTCAATTGCGGCTCCCCACCAATAGACAGGAGCATCCAGGAAGACTGCTAAGGGGAGGCGCTCGTATCACTCTCCCTAGCAGCCGGACTGTGTTTAAAAAAAAAAAAAAAAAAAAAAAAGATATTGATATTGAGAGCGAGAGAGAGAGAGAGGGAGAAGGGGAGGTGGATTCTTTGTGTGAGCTATGAAAATAAATGGCATTGTGTGGGTTTGAGGTGTTTGAAATCATCTAAGAAAGAGCCTATCTGTCCTGCATTGCTTTGCAGCATGGACATCTACTGGTTGAAACGCGATCTGGAATTCTTGAAGAGACAGAGAGTGGCTTGGGCACAGGAGGCAGCGATGCATGCGGCCGGTGCTGATCAATCGCACATGCAGATGGTGCAGTGCCAGCAGGAGCTGGCGCTTGTCGAGGAGCAGAAGCTGGAATGGTACTCAGAGGCAATTATGCGGAGGGAGGAGCTAGAGACAATCGGAGACAAGCTGAAGGAGATGGAGGCAGAGCTTGAGAGGAAGGAGAAGGAGCTGGAGAGAGTGGGAAGAGAGAAAAACGTTTGGTGTGAGGAGGCTGCTCGAAAGGCATCTGACGCCGAGGACATTGTGGATGAGCTAAGAGCGTCGAACATGAAGATTGAGGACCTGAAAAGTCGGCTCACAAGAACAGAAGAAGAAAAGGAATGGATGGAGACGAGAATCCGGCGAGAGGCGGCGGACAGGAGACGGGTGGAGAGGGACTTGGAACTCGCGAGGGCGGAAATAGATGTCCTCAAGTACGGTACCCTTGGTTTCCCTTTGGCCTTTTATTAGTAAGCATAGTACTTAGGGCTTACTTGCATGCGGACCTTTTGACTGAATCGGCTGTAATTGAGGTCAGATGCATCCAGGGTTGGTATTTTGGTCCCTGTATCAGATTCTAGCCCTGGATCATGGGTCTCTTAGGGCTGTATTTGAAATCAGATTGCTTATGTGGGTGTCAATGGAAGGGTTCCAAATACCAAGGGCCGAAAATAGGCCACTAAATGATAAGGATGCTTCTGAGAACTTTTTTTTTTTTTTGAAGCTTCTGAGAACTCATTGTTTCACCCTGTTATTTTTTATTTTTTGCCACTAAACTAAATGATAGAGTTCCAGATTGGCTACAGTCTGCTGCCGAATAGAGCACCTGGTCTTTTTTTTCTTTTTTTTTTTGGGTAACCCAGTCTAGCTGTTAGGAGGGGTGATATGGTAGAGCACCCCCGGTCATTATCGCTGCAGCTAGGCTGAAAGTTGTCCTCCATACAGCTATGATGACCGCGCGTTCTATTCGGGTGAAGACGATAGATAGTTCCTTGTGGAAACTACCGCAAGGCATTCTGCACTATCTTGACTGCAGGATGTGTTGCCCTGAGTGAAGGCAAAACACAGCTGATTGCAGGGGACCGCCTTCTTCCCCCAAAGACAAATCCTTAATATCATCATGATTCATTACTGTAATTGGAGAAACCAGATGGCTCCTGTACAGTAATGATGATAGAAAGTTTGTCTTGGGGAATGTACGCTTGAGTGATTTTTTTTATTTTTTTTTGAATGGTTTGCTGCTACCCTCATTATGTGTGTTGCTTGCGTCAGTCATCACCTTTGCGATGGGTGGGTGGGTGGGTGGGTGGGTGGCAGGGTGGCAGAGATGAGCAACGGGTACCCAGACGCACACCCACCTGTACCCACCCCACCCATGAGGCATTGGATCAGGTGTGGGCCTTGATAAGCTGGCATGGGTGGGATGAGGGTGGCTCTAGGCGAGCAAGCCTGGGTGGGTGACGGGCGGGTCAATGTTAGGCCTGGGTCACCCGAATGGGTGGGTGACAGGCGGGCTGGTGTGTGATGCGCAACCTCACACCCCGCACAGCTTTCCGTACTTCGGACGCCGATCAGAGTTATTAGGGGTGTGGCTGAGGATTTTTGGCCGTGGGGGTTGAGTCATCTGGACGAAACGGGGGATTCTTGCTTCGGCCTGAGGTGCCTGGGCGGGGATTTGGGCTGTCGCCGACGGCGGATAAGGGGAGGACGGGGTCCTACGGCCCGATCGTCATCTTTTTTTTTTTTCGGAAAAAGAGAAAATAACAGACGAGAGGAGAGGAGACAAAAGACGAAGCGGACGGGGGCGGAATTCCGTTCCCCGAGGCGTAGGGTTCCTGCGGGCCTTGGGGGTGGAGGCCCCGAAAACAGGTTCAGGCTTCGTTGTCGGACTCGTCTAGTCCGTGCGGACGGCGCGGCACGGGCTCCACCGGGGTCGGACAGGTTGACGGAACCCAGGTTCGGAAATGGGCAGGGAGTTGCGGGAGAGTTCGGGGAATTGGGTAGCCCCTCTGTACCCCAGGACCAATCGTCGCCGGGAGGGTCGCCACGAGCACGAGTCTCCTTGATGACACCAGTGACAATTAAACCGCGGTCGCCAGGTGGCATGCACGGCGGACCAAGGCAACACCGTGAGGTCGGTGTACGGCAAAATTAAAGGCGGGAAGGCAAATCGCTCAATCAGCGCAAACCCACTCCCGCCTTTATGGCATGCCTGGGTCGAGTTATAAAGGTGGATTGGCTCAATGCGCTGCAGCACGCTCCGCACGTCCGCATCACAGTAGATGCCATCGTTGTGTGCGATCGGGAAGGGCGGAAGCGCGCTGTGACGCTCTGAGGCCAGGTCCGAGCTCGGGCGACGGCCCACGCTTCCGTCCGTCGAGACGAAACCTGACTCCATGCAAAGATCAACGAATGTTGTTGAAGAAGGATGCGCCCAGCTTTCTTTCTCCTTCTCTTCTCTGTATCATCAACCTCAACGTGGTGTCGAGCACCTGTGGTGGATATAGAGAGGTCGGCCGCTTCGCGAGGAAGCGGCTGGCCGATCTCTCTGAAAGTATTTGCCTCCTCTTGGGATCCCGACCTCGCCCGGAAGGGGAGAGAGAGAGAGACGGCGAAAGGAGGTTGGCTCGTATCACACACACTCGCGCAAATAATCAAAAAGAAAGGGAGACGGGAAGGACCGATGCATTCATGCCCACATGCAAGCAATCGACACTCGATACCTCGATACTTCCGCTCATCAGGCCCAGCGGCGCATACACACACGCATACCCATAGAGTCTTCAATGAACCATTAGACACTCGATACCTCGATACTTCCGCTCATCAGGCCCAGCGGTGCATACACACACGCATACCCATAGAGTCTTCAATGAACCATTCAACATCCATAGACTTTCGTACCCGACATGCACAACAGATTACCCAACCTTTGGAGTCCTGCACACATCACACGGGGACAATGCAGCAATGGAGAAAAAGCTTCGTCTTCAAAATACAGAATTCTATCAACTGGCCGCTCCGGGCCCAGTCCCCAATCCGTCAAAACCACCGACAACCATAGCCCCAAGGCCCTGCCGCTGTCGGCGTCTGATCCCCACCACCGCGCAGTCCCTCCGACTGCCTTACCCCAAGTCTACCACTAACTCCGTCACCCGCCGTCACTCCGCCCACCACGGGGCACATCGAGCCTTTCTGGCGCCGCGGGCTTCGCGCATAGCTTGCGCAGCTTGCAGCCGAGATCAAAGAGAGTGAGAGGAAGGGATTGCGGGAATTTATAGCGCGGAAGGCGGCGGAGAGGCTGCAAGAAGCGCGGGGTGTAGATGGTCAGGACAGAAGAAGGGCAGACGTTCCAGAAGGGTCGAAGAAGGGGAATTGAATGTTCTGCATGATTGGGGTTATCGCCCAAGTGGGGTGCGCTTCCCGCGGCCACCACATTGCCCCGACCATCCCAATCAGACAGCCAATCATTCGCAGGGAAAGGAGAAAGAGGGGATCGGACTTCGCTTAGAGGGAAGACGAAGAGACATGCAGGAGGGAGATGCCCAACAAGAAGGGAAGATGACGCGGGGATGCAGAGCGGGGGAACAGGTTTACGTGGCACGCAAAAATTCAAAAGCGGTCAGCGCCCAAAATTCAAAATTCCTACTCCCGCTAACTCCCAACTGTTTCTTGCATTTCTTGGCGCGGCCGCTAACCGGCTACTCCAGACCCGAATCACATTTTCTATTCCACCCCAACTCCCTTTAAACAAAAAGGACAAAGAAAAAGGAAAATGAAACACCGCTTTCCCCCATTATCTTGAATCCATACTTCGAGGTTCTACGTGGGATTTTCCCTTAGGGGTGAGGGAAACCGCCGAGTGTGGATCCTGGCTTATCACAGGTGAGCACGAGGCCTGGGTCACCCGACCCACAGACCCAGGACAACCCTTAAGAACCCTMCCCCCCCCCCGCCCTCCCCCTCATACATATTTGCCAGCTGCGGTCCATCTGTGGACTTCAAAAGTTGGAGGCCCAGGAAACGAAAAGTCTCCACCCTGGGGTCCCCTGGAAAAAAAAAAGTTGTGGTCCTCGAAAAAAGAAGAGCCGCGCCAGTGGCAAATCGAAATTTGGGGTCCTCCTTGAAAAAATGTGTCACGCTCTACTTGTGGCAGCTGGACCACGGCCCAAACAACGGGATGCTCACTCCCATTAAAACAACAGGGATCAAACCTAACCACAACAAGTGGCACAGTTTGCTACCCAATTTCAAACTTGTGGAGCGCTTCGAATTTGCATGCCGTCAACCAAGGACGGTGCAAGGTGGAGATGCTTCAAATTTTTGCACCGTCATCCAAGGATGTCATGTTGCTATGGTGCGTGTAAATGTTCGAAGGGACTGAGACAATGGGGAACGGGCGGTGCGGGTGGAAAATAATTAGGTACCGGGTTTGGCCGGGTAATTTTGTTATCGCGGGTGTGGGCAGGCACGGTGAAGGTTTTTTACGGGTGACAGGTGGGTAATTTTGTTCTCGCGGGTGTGGGTGGGCAGGGTGAAGTGTTTTTACGGGTGACAGGCGGGTTGGGTGTGGGAGGAAAATTTGCGTGGGCCGGGTCACCTTGAGATTCTTTTTTTTTTTTTTTTGAGGGCGGGATGTACTTTTAAATATGTGGGCGGGTTGGGTGAAGTGCCAATTCAAAACAAAAGTACTCATCTCGGGTGGGTGGGTAGGTGGGTGTATGAATGGCATGGGTGGATGGATGGGTGGATGTTGGCTGTTGGATGTACCGATGGATGTTGGCTGTTGAATGTATCGATGGATCTTGGCTGTTGTATGCACATTGGTTTGTCTGCGGCATCTCGGGTGTCATATGTGTCTTCGTTTGTCGCAGTGGGTCAAATTTTGGACCCATTATTTATTGCAGAGCTGTGATTGATTGATGTGTGGCTAATGACATCCCGTGCTGCTGCTGTGCAGGCAAGATGTGAAACAACTGCGAGAGAAATTGACAGACAACATGCTGAAGATGGCCACAGTGAAGGGTAGATCGCGCGCATACCAGTGGCGTGTGGGTGTTCTGGACTCGGAGCTCGTGGACATGAAGAGAGAATTGGAGAGAGCACGGGGCTTGACAGGAGTCCTGGAGGAAGAAACTGGTCAGCTGCGCGATGCGCTTAAGCAAAGGGACTTAGAAAAAGAAGCTCTTCTTGGGAAAGTCCATAGAAGGGAGGTATATAATGCCTTGCTCAAATGCGAACTCAAGGTCCTCCTGGCTAAATGGGCGACAAAGCAAAACACCGAATGTGGGGCCTGCAAAGCAGCGCCCATAAGTCCAGAGACAAAGGATGGAGAGCAGGGCAACCAGACCAGAGAAGATGAAGAATTCCAAGGAATTGCGAAGCAATTTCTCGAGGACGTCCAGGTGCGTTGAACTGAATAGCAAAAAAGCTTGGTGTTGTAAAAGAATCAAAAGATTGGGGGGGGGGGGGGGAAGGCTTCTGTTATGATCCTGGGTATCTCACAGTGCAAAATCTCAAAGAAAGCGAATGCCGATTAATTGCGACTGAAATGAATTTAAGAGTTTGGGAAGAGAAATAGACAACGGAGGGAAGAAGGAATGAGAATGGAAGAAGAAAAAGAAGACGAACACAAGCAAGAACCAATGTCACTCCTTCCTCAACTCGCCACCATCTCCCACCCCCAGTATCTCTCCCAACATCTTATAAATAATAACAAGTGGATGCTTGCCGAAGCTTCGTGTGCAGTGGAGACCTGCTCCGCCTCCTCCCCATTGACACTTGTCGTTGTCTGCCCCCTCCTCTCTTTCCCACTCCTTTAGAACCTTGCTCCACTACTCACCACATGCACAGAAGACAAAAAAGATGGCGGTGTATCTTCCCATTTCCTAGCGGAAGATTCTCATTTTGCACATTCGGCGAGTAGTGGAGCGAGGCCGCAGGGCCCCTGCGCAAGGATGACACGCATAAATCGACAGATAGTCCCAAAGAAAAACAAAAACACAGGACGAATCTACAGGGGAAAACACACACACACACACACACACACACACACACACACACACACACACACAACGAAGCGAATCAACGGAATCGAACAAATGCATGCGGGCCTCGCTCCACTACGCACCGAATGTCCAAAGTGAGAATGAATCTTCCGCTAGAAAATGGGAAGATACACCACCATATTTTTGTCTTTTGTGCATGTGGTGACTCGTTACATTGGGTACCGATCATAAGCTGGTATTTGGAATTAGACTTATGGATGACATGTCTCTATTCCTGGCCTATCGGAGTGGAGACTCAGGTTCTCTCGGCATGACCAATCGAATCCGGAGGAAATTTGAACGCTGTTACCCAAGGGCCTTGACTTTGAAACGGACAGATGGAAAAACGGGGTCCGTGGATTTTCTGGGCTGCAAAATCGAGGTGCGAAAGAACTTTCCTTATTTGGGTAGTATTCAGTGAACCAAGAACGAGGAAACGATATGAGCCTCCGGCGAAGGGGTGTTCAAATCCGGACAGGACTTCGATTCCTAGTCCAGCAGAAAGCAAAAGGCGGCCTCAATCACAGGTTGGTTGCACCGGATTGACAGTAACACCACGGTCAGGACCAGTATCCCGCGACAAGTTTGGACGCTGCGAAAAGAATACCGGGTCAAAAAGTACCCGGACCTTTTTTTCGGGACGGTACTGAAAAACTTTGCCAGGGCACGTGACGACATGTGGAAATTCACAGCAACATTGCTAGGAGGCACACAGGAAGTAGAGATAGCAAGACTACTAATTTGTCCTCTTTGATCGTTATGGCGTCAGGGGAAACCCTGGCTAGGACTGACGGAACGAAGGAGTGAGTCTAGGGGCGAAGACAGCAGGAGAAGGTGGTAATTATCGAGACCGTTCTCGCGGTTCTCTTGGGGTTAAGACCACTTCTCATTGACTTGTTATGTCTTATCCATCGTCTTTTTATTGGACTTTCAATCATTGTCATTTTATCGACTTGTGATTGTGTTGTGTCTTACCTCTTCTTACCTACCATGTGGTGAGTAGTGGAGCAAAGCCCCATTGCCGCGATTGCATCCATCACTATCTTTCTTCGACGCTTCGATTTTTTTTTTGGGCAACGAATCTCCCGCTTGAAAACGGGGAAGGCACACCACCATGCGCGATCTCTCTTCAGCACTTCGATTTTTTGGTCTTTTGTGCATGGTGAGTTTTACCACCACCAGGATAGAGGTCTTGCACAAAGGGCAGTCGAGCCAGGCCACCATACGCAATCTTTCTTCGCCACTTCGATTTTCTTTTTTGGCACTCCGCCTTCGCTGGGCCCACCCCCTGTTCTGCGCGCGCCACCTGAAGTTTGTGTCGCGCGCCCCTCAGAGTTTGTTTCTGTGCACGCCGCCTGAAGTTCGCGTTGCGCCCCCCTCAGAGTTTGTTTCACGCGCTCCCGCACGAAACACACCAACAGAGCAACAAAAAAAAATTGCTTTGCCCTGTGCACGGCGGTGGCCCCAACTGGGAAATGGGTTTCGCGGGACGGCATCATGCGAGACCCTCTGTTCACTTAAATAGAGGAAGGGATAATTGGCAACCATGAATGAATGGACCAGAATCTATGTCCGAAATTCCGAATCCTCCCCTTACTGCCAACCACTCAAGAAGTCCAACCCACCATAGCCATTCCACAGCTTCTTCCACTACTTGACTAAGCTGGTGGCTATGACAGACTATTGGAACCTAGCTGCAGTGTTTAAGGGATGAAGCAAAGTTACTCTATGCCTCTCCCACTATGGCTTCCATGCCGCATTCCGCCCCCGGGGTCTTCCTTCCAAATATCACCCCCGTGGGCCCTTCCGGGCTCAGCGCCAACCAAGACGATGAAGATGCAAACCACCATAGCAACGGTAAGCTCCTTCACTCTCATCCTTCTTCTTCCACCTCCTCCTTCTCCTTCTTCTACCTCCTCCTTCTTCCTCCTTCCACCTCCTCCTCTCTTTTTCGCCCTTCCTCTCTCCTCCATAGCCATGTCTTCTCCTACCTCCACCTTGGTCACCTCCTCCATAGCTGAGGTGGGGGCCAAGCTCCGCCTCTTTCCTCCAATCAGCGCCTCACCCAACTGGTGAGTGCCTCCAGCAGCCTCACGGCTTGCAACTGGGAGAACGAGGCAGAGTGCCTGGCTCCTCTTCACCCATACTACAGCCGCACTCCAGCGCAGCCACTTTCCAGGGTACCCGGCCTCTCGGCGTACGGGCTGCCCCCGTGCTTTTGGCGGGAAGTCTGACATCTGACAATGCAGGCTCTAGACCTAAACCTACCCCTAAGTCTACCGGACTCTAAAATGCTAGCACCCCTACGCAAAGGTACTACCTTTTTGGCCTTTTTCTGCTACCCTACCCGCTACTTCCTGTTTTTGGCCTCTGCAGGCCTCTTTTCATCTACTCTACCAGCTGCAACCCCGGATACAGGGCCACAGTTTAGTACCAGACCCGCCGACCATTTCAGCACACAGACGATCATCAGCGGGTCACATGCACATACACACACACACGTGTGGCGCTCTGGCAGCAGACGGGTGTGCGGGCACCTGGCACTTAACCACACAAACGTGGCCAACCTTGCATCTTCCACTATATTGTCTATCTATACCGTCTTTTTGTTTCGTGATTGATTTGTGATGATTTGTGGATCGAGAGAGAGAGAGAGAGAGAGAGAGAGAGAGAGAGAGAGAGAGAGAGAGAGAGAGAGAGAGAGAGTTTGAAGTTTTTTTTTTAAACACACACAAGTTCTCAGTCAAGCGGGTAAGCACACGGGACACAGATATCAGCAAGCACTTAGACCATGTGTGCACACACTCGTCAAACACAGAAAAGTCGCAGCCAAACACGGAAAGTAAGCAAATCAGTCCAGCAAGCAGCAATGCTCAGAAAAGTTGAGAAAACACTTCACAAGAGTAGATTTCTCAGTCTGCATTTTTTTTTTGCAGGTTATTACACTGGGAAAAAGTCTCGAAAGGCACTGGGACGCATCACTGTACCAGTGTACCAGCTTTTCACATGAGCACATTCCTAGATGTATCTGACTGAAATTACAGCTGGAGCTGGATGCATCTGACTGGAATCACGTCCAGAGCTCAGCGGAGAAAGTCCTCTTGTGAATATGCCCTAACTTGTTGACTGGCTTTTCTTCACTACAAGGCCAGTCAGCATTCCGAGTTTTTTTGCGAGATCTTCGCCGTTTCTGCTTCTGAGTTTTTTTTCAATATTTTTGTCGAAGCATTGTTTGCGCTAGCTTCAGTGTCTGAGTTTTTTTAACTTTTTTCATTCCTTTCTTCTTCCTGCTTTCTCTCCGCATCTCATCTCTACATTCTGTTCTTGATCCCAAAA